GAAATTTCAAGAAAACTCTCTTCTTTCTGCATAGGGATGACAAGCGGGTATAATTTCGTGGATTCCGCACCGCATCTGCTCCAATTGGGACGGGGATGGGTATAATTTTAGTGGGTAGTGGGCGGGTGTGGATTTAGAAAGTGGTACCCGTCGCGGGTAATCGGCGGGTAATGGGTTTGAAACCTTACCCGCCCTGCATCCGCACCGCATCCACCCTCCCCACATCCGCCCGCCCAACTAAATATCCATTAAATTTTCGATCATTATGAATTTAGGTATAATTTTAAGAGACTAATTTATAAATCATAATACTATATAAGATATAACTTGTAATTTAACCAAGTATTAGGGATAAATTTATGCATAAGTTTTTTTCTTTCAAACCTGTCGTTACATCGCCGATCTTTCAAACATCTGGTCTCCACTCTCTAGCTTATTCAGGTACGTTTCTTCCCTTTTTACTTGAAATTTAATTTTTGTAAGAGTCATTTCCGTAGTCATTTCGTTTTAAGCTCCTCTACATTTCGTTTTAAGAGTTTAATTTTTATTTGCTCGTACTGATTTTTAGATTCATCTCAATGTTTGTTTTAAGCTTAATTTCTTAATGTTCTACAAATCAGTATCTTGTGTCTGAGCACCCACGTTTTAGGCCAACAGAGTCAGATCGTTGCTTCTCAAATCTCTATTTTTAACGCTACTGAATAGAATTAAGTGTTTCACTCGTGCTTCTCAAACCTCCATTTTTAACGCCATTAAAACTAACTTTTTCAAGTTCAAATTTCAACAGAGTATTTTACAATACTGGTGTTTTATTATGGTGTTTTATGAGAATGATGATTGTAATACTGGAGTATCAGATGTCACAAGTATTGCTTGAAATTTTAGAATGTTGTGCCAAAGAACAAAAACATTATGTGTTTGTCATTTATGTTTCTTGACTTTAATTGTCTTTTATTATGATGTTTTATGTACTTTAAGATCTATATTAACACTTAACTAAGATAATCCTTTGTTTATTTTATTATGTTTTTTAATAGATGTGTTTGTTTTATGTTTGTTGCTTATGTATAACTTAAGTTTGCTGTCAGGCGGATCTAGCCGGGTACGTCTCTAGTGGGTGTGGGGATGGATTTGAGAATGTACTCGCGTGGGCGGATGTGGATTTGAAAATTTTTACCCATCATGGGTGGTGGGCGGGTGGTGGATTGAAAAATATTATGTGGGTATGGGGATGGGGGAGGGGGTATCCGCACCCGACCCGCCCGTTTGCCATCCCTATTTCTGCATTAGTCGTGTACTCCATAGCCAAAGGTGAGCAAGCTTTGTTTTAAATTTTTGAGCCATTTTAATTAGAATTAGGACTAAAGTGTGAAATAATAAATTGTTCCCCACTAAATTCTCTTTCTTTTGGTGAAGTGGGTTTTTAAGGTGGATGAAGGGGAAGTGATAAAATCATTGAAATAAAATTAGCTTTTGATCTTAGGAGTGTTATGGAATCATATACAAGCTTAAAAGAGGAGTAAAAATCATAAGGAGATTTTATTGAATATGTTCGGCCATGTTGGATTCTTATGGAAATTTGTTGAATTTGATTGTTTTTGATATAGAAATGATTATAAATGAATGGAAATGGGTTGTAGTTGATTAAATTAAGCTTGAATCAAAGTTGGAAACCATTAGGGGAGAATATCAAAAGTTTCGGCCAAGGAGAAAAATTAAGAAATTTTGTACAAAAAATTTCTTTTGGGTTTAGATTAGACATAAGGATGATTTCATAAGGTTTGAATTAAGTTTTGGATCAATGTTAAGCTTAGAGGACCTTTTCCATGTTTTGAGAAATTGGAGGATTGTTAAGTAAATGTTGAAAAATTTAGGTACTATGCTGGAAATTATAGTTGGAATGATGAAATGTTGAATTGGGTTGGTTTGGAAGTTGAATAATTCCTAGGGATTAAATTGCAAGTTTTTGAAAGTTAGTGGTGAAATAGAAAAGGTGCAATATTAATGTACTAATTTGGAAGTATTGTAAAATTGGTTGAGTATGATGATTGTTTGGGATTAAAGTGAATAGTAAGAACCAATTAGACAAGTTTAAAATATGGGGGGTTTAATTTGAAGAAATGTGTAATTGTGGGTTGAATTTTAAATTGTGAAAAGTTAAATGATTTAAGGTTGAGATTTATTAGTTTTAAGAACTAGGAAAGTTATTTTTGCTAGAGTTGAGTAGAATTGATTTAGTTATAGAAATTAATATTGAATATTTATTTACCATATTTTATTTTAGATTGTATACAAATCCGTGTTTAATAAGTTAGTTAGATACTAATATATGTTCAAATTTGTTATGGTGGGTAATTATTTTTCAAGTAGATTGTGATCAATATCGAGATCAAAATGAGCTTAAAGAAAAGGATAAGGTTTGAGAGTGACTTCAATAATTATACTAAGATAAACTAGCGAGGCATCATGTGAGTAAATTTAATTATACATATACGATGAGAATGACTTGTTATGAGTCGACTTGGTTTATTTGAAAAGAAATATTTTTAAATTTTAATATGAAGTTATATTTTCATATGGTTTAATACATGGTATTTTGTTACTTTTGGGCATGAATTGCCTTATACATAGTTTTCTAATTTTTTTTATTTTTTTTATTCATATACATGAATAAATTGATCCGTGACATGTTAATAACAATAATAAAAATTCAGATAAAAGCCTAATGTATATGTATTGAAAGTCTAAAGTACAAATGACATGCCATGAGGTAGAGCGATTACATGATATATATTTATATAATACCTATAGTGCAATCTTACGAGACACTTTCGAACGTAAATACATGACTACGAGACATTTATAGTGCATATAGCAAGTTTTTATGATTAAGGGTATATGAAAAGTACGAGTTATATAGTTTAAATATGGAAAACGTCAGTTAAACGAATCAAAAGCTATTAAAGGTTTTATAAGATACTTGATTTATACGTATGTGTGATTTATATGTGAAATAATTTTTAAGCAGTTTGATTTTTATGCATTTTCATATACTTTTAATTATTTTTCTATACTATGATTTTTATATAATATTTAGTAAATTGTTTAGTTTTATTTAAAATTTATCTAATGTCTCACTAAGTGAAAACTTAGCGTATGATTGTTTCACACTTAGGTACGAGTAAGCGAGTAGAGTAATGAGCGTGTCAGCATTATTTATGAGGAATCGAATTTACCTCTAGAATCGATAAAGATATCGAACATCATACAATGCTACTTTTTAATTATGTAGTGGCATGTATATTATAGAGTTTTTTTAATTACTCTAATATGAAATGTGTTTAGGTTGTAAATATTTTAAATATTAAAATTTTTAGGTTGCAAATATTTTAAATATAAAAAAATTAAGTATAATTAGTAGAAATAATGAATAGTATTTTAACAAAATCATGTTTTAAAAATTAATTAATAAATTTTGTTATTAGGCAGTTTTAAGCCACATTAATATGGTATAAAACATTTTGAGCTACTAGTTAGCTGCCTAAAAACTAATCCGATTTTAATATTAAAATATTAAATTAGGATTTTACATGATTATTTGATTTAAATTAAAGAAGTATGATTTGGAAATTTAAACCAACATTTTTTTTAATATTTAAAGTTTTATACAATTGATGTGACATTTTTAACTTGTATACATACACATATACGAGTTAAAAGTATTACATAACTATAAATTGTCGTTCTAAGAAGATCGAAGAAGAAGAATTCACTAGGGGAATATTATTCTCAACGACCTCACGGGGGATTTGAAAGAACAAAAACGAATCAATCTTTCAGAATAACAACAGAAACTCAAATCAAGTGACCCAATACAACTACAAAAGAACCTAGATGGGTTAAGTGGAGAAGACCACCCGAAGATTATTGAATTTTGAACTCGAACGGGACATGCAAAATGAACACCGGAGACGCCGCAACAGGGAGCTTAATAAGAAACAAGAATGGCGACTGGATTCAAGGGTTTCTGATAAATATTGGTAAATCAACTAGTGCGGTGGTCGAAATCTGGGGTTTAAGACAAGGTTTACGAATCGCGAAATCGTTGAAGCTGATGTGAAATGAGTAATTGATACCCTAAACAAGGAACAAAACGATGACATTCAGAATGAGGTAATGTTTAAGGATTGTGAAGAAATGATAAAAGAAGGTTAGATATCGGAAATTCGGCATACCTGGAGAGAAGAAAATGGATATGCTGATCGACTGACCAATTAAACATTTGAAAGAGAATGAGGGACACACATCTTGACAGAACCACTACAAGAGCTCTTATCATTGTTGCAGGCAGATAGAGATGGTGAAACAACACCGAGATGGTAGATTACTAAGCGCAATCGTTTTGTATTCTTCTTTTCCCACTAATGTTCCAAAAAAATAACACAAATTTAAAATTAATATAAACTCATATGATTCTCAATGCTTTAATTTTATTCATATACTTTAATTTTATATTTAAAAAGAATCTCTAATCGATTTTGTTACTTTTAACTATAAAATATAATATTGAATTTTTTACTAACTTGGTTTTAAACGATACAAAATAAAAATCAAATAAAAAATAAATTTGAATGTTAAAATGCAATCAAACGAAATAATAACATAAACTGGTAAATTTAGCGGCAAATTTCAACTTCTGGTAAATTTGTGACCCTATAATTAATAATAAAAAAGGAAAACATCAGAATCGATCTTGCCGTCATGGGTTCGAACCTGAAAACCCTAAACAAAGGAAAGAAAAAGCTCCCGTGTTTCAAGATAAATTAAAATAAAATCAAAGGTGACGATTTCGGATTTTCCCTCCACTTTCAAGTGTCGTTTACTTTGTTATAAGCTGCTGCTCTGCTGTTGTTGTTTTTCCTTTTTTTATAACCCTTTTTGTCCGATTATCTCTATTTTACAGTTTCTTAGATACCTCTGGTTTGGATTGAGATCCTCGTGTTTAACTTCACCGTTTGACCTGGAGTGCGTGTACCTTTACGGGCTTGATTTATCAAACAGAACCGAGATCTCTCAGTCTTAGTATCACCAACTGGTATGTTTGGGTCGTGGAATATTTGAGGGAAAATGTATGAAACTCTTGGGTTTATTTACTTAATTATTCGTTGGTTTTGGTAAAATGGGAAAAAGTTGAGCTGATTAAGTAAAACTGTTCAGAAATATTAACTTTTAATTTGTTAATGGGTTGTTATTATTGAAAGTGATGTTCCTAATTACATTTATTTTGAAACAAATTACATTGTTGACTGTGAATTAGAGTTGGTGCTCGAACAACTTTGCCTTATAGTTAAGGCACTGAATTGGACATTTTTATACGTTAATGTACCAAATTTATCATTGGTTATAGTTTAGATACTATTTTCTTATTATCAATTGTTGAGCATTGTATGTCTTATATTTGAGTGATTGACGAAATATGTGTTAGGATTGTAGTGAAAAAAAATTGAAAAATGGAAGAACCCCAGAATGATGGCCCAGGAGCTAAGGTCTCTGTATTTGATGATTCGATCGAGAATCATTTTAGGGCAATGTATACAGTTTCTAAGATTTGTGAAGAGCCCAAGAATGATGATCTTGATGAAACTGATATGCAGAGATTTTCTTCTTCAATCACTTTCTTAAGGTAAATTTATGTTTTTCTAAAGGAAAAGAGGATCTAGCGTTGATCGGTTGTCTTTTCTGATATAGGTCTGATTGTTTCTTTTGATGTTAACTTTATCAGTGTAATATAGAAATTTATGTTCCTAATGTACCATTGATCGTGCCTTTAGGGAATGGAGGCATTTTAACTATGAACCGAGGGTTATTAGGTTTGCTAATGAGAAAGATGTCTTTGGTGGCGTAGAGTTGCCCCAGTTTTCATCATCAACCGTTTCCAAGGTGAAAGCAATTTTTTTTTTATTCTGGGCCTTCCACTTGGAGGAATCCTCAATTACAGCAGAAAATCTTATGGAATAGTTATTATAGTATAGTGTTCTGATGACACTTTTTTTGGCTTATGGAACCAGCAGGGCGGAGTATATGAAAGAAATGCATCTGCAGAATTCTGGTTAGATTGGATTTTTTTTTGACTGATAATAGTTCCGAATGTTATTTGGTTACTTTACGTGGTAAGAGGATTGTCTAGTTTCAGTTTGGAAAAGGTCATCATTTCATTCTTGACCAGCATAAATGCAAACTACTAGACTATAAAACTTCTTCCATTCTACAGGACTCCTGTCTCTCTTTCTCTCTCTCTCTAATAAATAAACCCTTATGAACTTTTACAGATGGTGTGTGCTCTTGTTAAGTCTGTGATGCATATGAATGTTATACGATATTAACTTGGGTGTTATTGTTCCTCTTATATAAGATCTCTATGTAGGCTACCTTATTTTATTTGTGAAAGTTATTTAGAGTTGAAGCCTGTCTTACAACACCCTGCTAAATGGTATGTCATATACATTTATTGAGTAACATGATTAAACTACAATCTTCTTGCAGCAAGGACTTCGTGATGTATGTTGGAGGGTCTGTTTGGGCATTGGATTGGTGTCTTCGAGTTCATCAGAATCCAAATAATCTTGTTAAATGTGAGGTACTTCATTCTCTCCTCTTAAATCCAAAACTTCTTGTGGGAGCTTTTCATTTGTTTATTTATTTAATCTTCTGGATTTTAGTTTCAATTTGCATTTTGCATTAAAATGGTTTTCTGTCAGGCTTCACATTATTCTAGCCCAAATCTAGTTCTACTTGGATATTTCAAATAAAAGAGACAAAGCCTATATTTGTTCTTAAATAACGATTTAAAATTTTACTGCATGCTTTATTAAATAGTCTTAATAATAATTATCATTGTCTTATTGCTGCAATATTGTGAGATCATCCTTGTTGTGACATATTTTGGTTTGCCTTCTTTCCCAGTTTATTGCTATTGCTGCTCATCCTCCGGAATCTTATTATCATAAGCTGGGTGCACCACTTATTGGTAGAGACATGATTCAAATATGGTGTGTGCTAAATGATAGGGTAAATGAGGAAGAAGCTTCTCTGTCAGAGAAAAAGCCAAAACGGAAATATCAAATAACAGAAGCCTTGGACGAGAGCTTGCCAAAGAAGCCTAGAGGACGACCTAGGAAAGAGCGAATAGATGAACCTCTGCCTGATAAGGTTAAGAGGCTACAAGGCAGACCTAGAAAGAAACCAATTGTTGAATCTCCTGGCTGTGATCCGCATGTGCAGCCTCTAGCTGTTCAGTACCCAGAAGATTCCATGCAGCTTGTTTGTGTGGAAGATGTTCCTGGAAATACAAAAGATGTTCCAGTTAAGAATCATCGTAAAAAACCAAAAGGTCTTAAAAAGGAAGCATCTACATCTGTTGAAACCCCTAAAACTTCTAGGAAGAGTGTAAAATCGAAAAGTAAGACACAGGAAAAACTAACAGTGATGCTAGAATTCAAAATGAAGATTCAGAATCTTTTTCTTCAATAAACCAACAAATTCATCCTAACTCTGGGCAAGATGCTACTGCACCAGATAATGTGTTAGGTTCTAATTCATTCAAGGTCAGCCCGAGTTATCCTTCAATTCCAGGGTATGTTGCACTGCCAAGAGCTGTCCTCTGCTTAGCTCACAACGGAAAAGTTGCTTGGGATATAAATGGAAGCCATATCATATAAATGATTCTAAATGCAACCAACGGATGGGCTATTTGGCTGTCTTACTAGGAAATGGATCTTTGGAAGTGTAAGATATCTAAAAGTTTTCTTTGTAATTTTTTTGCATATCATTGTTTAGGACTGAGTTATAAAAGAATGAGCACCATTATCTTATACAACACTAATAGAACACAACATCTCTTTTAGGGGGTTGTTCTTTTCCTTGTCTTATTTAACAGATTAGGGCATTAGGCTAGCTTCATAATTTGTCATCCATAAGCATTGCAACTAAAAGCCCTGTTTGTGGATTCTTTTCAGTCCTAGAAGCAGATTGAACTGGAGAAATATCTAGAGAACTATATGTTGATATTTATTGTATTTCAAGGTTTCAAAATAAGGAAATATGTGGAATAATTCTAATAGTAATACTTGTTAAAAACAATGAAATTCTGTGTAAAACTCGTGTATTTCTGTTGTAGGTAGTGTTACATATTCATACAAGTAGTGGCCTTAACTTAAGAAACTTTTAAGCTAGGAAAGTAGTTAATTCTAAGGAATACACAATCCCTTAAAGTTATGGATTACAACTACTAAGGAATATTTACAGAATCCTATCTTAATTACTCATAATATTCCTAATTTAGGAACCTATTTTCTGACACTCCCCCTTAAGTTGGAGAGTGGATGTCTTCCATATTCGGCTTGCCTGCTAACTTCTGAAAAAGCTTACAGGTAGTCCCTTGGTAAGTATATCTGCAACTTGATCTCCAGTGGACACATAGGGAGTACAAATTAGCCCACTGTCGAATTTCTCTTTTATGAAATGTCTATCCACTTCAACATGTTTTGTCCTGTCATGTTGAACTGGATTATGAGCAATATTAATTGTTGATTTATTGTCACAGTACAACTTCATTGGACCTTCCCATTTAATCTTTAAATCTTCTAAAATAATCTTTAGCCACAACAATTCGCAGATTCCATGTGTCATTGCTCTAAACTCAGCCTTTGCACTGGATCTAGCCACAAAATTCTACTTCTTGCTTCTCCATGTCACTACATTTTCTCCCAAAAAAGTACAGTACCCTGAGGTTAATCTTCTATCAACCATTGATCTTGCATAGTCGACATCAATATAAGCTTCTAATGTCAAATTTCTTCCTTTTTTAAACAAAATTTCCCTGTTAGGTGTACCCTTTAAATACTGCAGAATTTGATTCACAACCCTTAGGTGTGTTTCTGAGTATACGCAAATAATGTGCAAGTATACACAATCGCTCAAGTAATATAATGATGAGTGAATATCGTCTCCACAGGGATTGGGTGAAATCACAAAAGTCTAACCAAAACAATGCACTATTCTATCTAAGTATAGTTAGTTTTGATATATACAAATGTCACGGCAATGTAAATGTGTATGCTGGTGGATATGAAGTGATGGTATGATGGTGTAGCAAATGGAAATGCAATGGGAATAATGGATGTTTAATGTTAAGTATGGTGAAATGTCAAGGCAATGAAAAATGGTAAAAACAGTACATAAAGATAAAATGAAAAGAAAATAATCCTCACGTGACAAGCTTCTAAGTGAATGAATGGTAGGGATTGATCTACGGATGCTAAACTTATTTCTCAAGTATATTTAAGCTAACTGGTCTTTACTTACTCGACAGGGCTTTCCTAAAGTGTTCTAAAGAACCTAACAGAATAGGATGCCAAGGCATCTGTTCTCACTCAACGATGTTGGACAGCCTACCCTATTGATAAAGAAACCCTTTTTAGTCGTTGAAATCCTATCCTAGTCTCTTCCGAGATCTAAGGGAATAGATTATAATACTCCTAGGCCGGTTCAAAGCCCCTTGAAAATATTATAACCCATTGCTTATGAGGATCTTATCTTGTGTTTCTTCCGAATACTTACAAGTATTTTTAGCTTAGGATTCTTCCGAATACCTAACCTTCATCTAAGAAATGGACATTTTCATGCCTCTTACAAGCCTAGATGGTGAAGCATTCATAAGCAAAGTAAATAAAGAACCAAAATAAACTTAAATATACCATTAAAAATAAAGTTCAAACAACTATTAAATCAACCACCACCAAATAAGTTAGTTCACGGTGGGGTTCAAAATATCCAAACACAAAGTCATGAAAATATTTGTTCCAACAACCCATAAATAAATATAAAATAGCAGCAAAAAGGGAAGTTGAGAAGAAGCCTTCGACGAGCCACCGGAGGTCTCCTCTCGGCCACCACGAACCACCTAGCTCGCTAGCTCCTTTCGGCGCCTAGCTTGCCACTCCTTGGAGCTTTATCAATGGAGGAATATCCCAAGGAAGAAGAAGGGAAAAGGAAAAATAAAAATCTGATTTTTGCTACAGTGTGCGTCTCTTTCTTTTTTTCTCCCCCATGAGGTGTCATATATAATAAAAAATATCTAGGGGTAATGATGAGATTGTTGGGTGCAAAATACCTCTCATATCCCTAGAATCACATGTTGGGCGTGAACCTTATCCTCCAAGTGGCAGTGGTCCTTCACGTGCAGAGACAGCTGTCCAGCGCCAGTTGTCCTTATGCAGAAATATATATATATATATATTTTTTTTCTGCGCTGGAAATGTCAAGGCATTTCAATCTGCTTTAGCAACGTGTGATACCGCGGCATTACTTCCCAAAGAATCATTTTTCTTGCTATTCCTTGCACACCACAAACAAACTGCACCTTTCCCTCAAACAGCACCATTAAGAAATAAAATAACACAACTACCACAAATGCACTATATGCAACTACATGATCCTAAAATGCCTAAAATGAACTTTTAAACAAACAAAAACTTAAGTGAAAAAAGCCTTAAAAGTAGCTTTTTTAGGAAGTTAACACACCCTCAAACTTAAGCTATTGCTTGTCCTCAAGCAATGGATAGCAGTTACATAAGCAGAATGTTATGGCAATTTTCTACAGTAGGGAAGTAGGACACAATTGAATTTCAACCCTCAGAAAAAAAAAGCTTCAACATGCTAGACTTATCAAGAATTCAAGTATGAAGGGTTGTGTGTTGAAGGTGGATTTCAAGAAGGCCTACTGAAGATACTAATTTTTTATCCATATTATTATTATTAATATTATTAATATTATTATTATTATTATTACTATTATCATTATTATTATTATCATTATTATTATTATTATTATTATTATTATTATTATTACTATTATTATTAAATATATTAAATACATATAAATATTATTAAAAATAAATAAATAATAAAAAATAATTGCAGGCCCAATTACAATTGGACCAGCCCAGTTACAAACCAACCAGAGCCGGTCCAAATCCAACCAGAAACCCTAAATATTTGGGTTTCCAGTTAGGGTTTCCTAACCCTAATCTAGCCAGCCGCCATCTTCAATCTCAACCGTTGGATCTGGTTTGATCCAACGGTCCACCAGTTGCCAGAGGAAACCCTAGGGTATCTATACCCTAGGGACACGTCCCAACGCCGCCGCTGCTGCTTCCAGAAGCCCTCACCGCCTCCGCCGCTGCCACGTCCCGAATGATGCTTCCAGAAGATCAACGCCAGCCGTCCATGCAAGGCTACGGGTGAGTCACCACTGGTAGTCCGGTGACTCACCGAGGCCCCCTCTTCGGACCGTTCTGAGACGAACACCGTGGTGGCTATAAAAGCCACCACCCATCTGCGAAAGAAAAAAAAGAAAAGGGAGACAAAAAACCAGGGACAGAGACAGAACCAAAAAAAAAAAAAAGGAAAATAGAGAGAGATATAAAACTACCACGATCCCAACAGAGCAAAAACAAAAACAGAAGGAAAAAGAGAGAGAAGCTTACCAAGGAAGCCTTGACCGTCGCCGGAAACACTGAACATCGCCGGAGAACCGAAAATACCGAAGGTATATTTATAGATCTGCTCCGATTGGGAGCCATTTAAGGAAAAGAACATCGGAACCGTCCTTAGGACGGTCCGATCTATCCAAGTATAAATAAATTTTCCGGCCACCGGATGCGGTGGCCGGCGGGGACACTCGCGGCGGCAACGGCTGCCGGATTCCCTCCGGTGAGGGAATCTAGAGAGAGGCCAGAGAGAATTCTCTCTCTCTCTCTCTCTTTCTGCTTAAAGAAAAAAAAAAAAGAAATGAAATGGCTGGCCCTTCGGCCAGCCGTTTGGACCATTTATAGTCCTTCCCGAACGACGTCGTTTCGGGAAGGACTATGCGCGTAATTACAAAATAGTTAAAACCCGTCCGTAGTCCTCCCAACTTGTAAATTTTATATTTTGGTCACTAAACTGAATTTATAATAATTTTAATTCAGTCTTTGAATTTTAATTTTGTTCATTTTAGTCCTTTTTATTAAAATAATATATTTAGGATAAATACAATTTAATCCCTTAATTTAATAAATAATTTTTTAATCCCTAGTTCATATTTTTAATTTAATTTATTATAAAATTCGAATTTTAGATAATTTTATTTTGGTCACTAAATTATTAAATTAGAAAATAAAATATTTAATCCCTATAATTTCATTAATTAGGAATTAGATTTAGTTTTATTTTAATTATAATTTTTATTTATTTTATATGTCTTCATTTATTTATTGTTTTTAAATATATTGTTTTAGTAGAATTTTTATTTTTGTTAAATATTTTTATTCATAAATATATATAATAGTAATTTTTAAATATTTTTTTAATATCGAAGAAAAGGACAGTCTTAATACAACTAGATGTCCTATTCTGATATTTTAAAATTAAAGTAAATAATATTATTTAAATTAATATTTATCAATATCAAAGAAAAGAGCTGTCTTAAGGCACCTAGAAGTTCTTTTCTGATATTTTTAAATAAATAAATAAATTTTTTATATAATTTTGAAAATAGAATTATAAATTAACTATTTTTGAATTTTAAAATTTAATAATAGAGACAATTTATAATTAAAAAGTACCAATTTTGGGCGTTGTAGGGTGCTAATCCTTCCCTAAACGTAACCGACCACGAATCCCTTTTTATTATTAAAAAGAACGAATTTTTGGTTATAAACGCAGATCAGTTCATCTTTTA